ACACATATAAATTCGAAGTATATACAAAGCAATCTTGAGAAGGGGAGGATGTAACAACTGAGGTGAGGGGACTTTCAGGAAATGTCTCATGTAGGAGGTGGTACCCTGAGGTAGTGCTTTGAAGGAAGTAAGGCATTGTGTGAAGTCAAAGTAAGAATGTAGTAGTGAATTCCAGATTTTTGCAGAGGCTTGGAGGTAAGAGATGGAATGTTATATATAAAGAATAATAAGTGAAGAAGAATAACACGAAAAAAGATGATGTAGGTGGGAGCCAGATGGTGGAGGACCTAGAATGTCAGGTTGAGGATTTTGCATTTTATCCCAGGAGCAACAGGGAGTCAATGAAGGTTTTTGTGAAAGGGGCTGGCACAGCCAGATCTGGTTTAGGAATATACATTTGGTAACTGTATAAAAGACTGGATAGGGTAGGCTAGAAACAGGGTGAGCAATTAGGACTTTTTTTAAAAAATAGTCTAGGCAAGAGATGAAGGCTTAAATTAAAGTACAGGCTGTGTGAGTGAAAAGAAGTGGATAGAGGTGAGAGATATTATGGGGAGAGCATGGCAAAGCTTGGCAATGGATAGAAAGTACTGAAAACAACTGTGAGGTAGTACCTCATACCCAAACTGGCAAAGATAGTCAAAGATGACAAAATTCATTATTGGCAGGGATGTGGAAAAAAAGTCATGCTAATTCATTGCTGCTGGAGCTGTGAAGTGATTCCATCATTTCAGATGACAATTACAGTTACAGAAATATTCATACCCCTTAACCTATCAATCCCACTTTTAGGTTTGTGCCTAAAGAAAGCTAGTGACAGGAAGAAAAGCCCTACTTGTAGAAAAATACTCATAGAAGAATAGGAAAAACCATGTGTTTGAATATTGAGGAATAGCTAAGTAAATTGTGGTATATGAATATAGTGGAACATTACTGCACTGTAAACAATGACAAATATGAATACACAGAAATGAGATTGTTTATATGAAATAATGTGATCATAAAAAGGATCCAAAGAACAATATACAGATTGAATGCAGCCATATGTAGAAAATAACTTCAAACTGCAATAAGACACAGGAAATACAGTGAATGATGCAGAGAATCTTCCTGTCACATAGTAGGTACTTAATGAATGCTTGTCAACTTGACTTTTATCAACTGGTAAATAACAGAAGGGTACAGCTGCAGGTACCAAAATGTGTACTTTTTTCATGCTTTGCTCGTTTTGGTTCTTTTTTGCTTTGTTTGGTTTTATCACTATTATTATGATTACTTACAGCTTTACTTGTACTGTCTGGCTCTCCTTCTTGGACATATCTGACCATTTGCATGAGGGTAGAACTTAATGGGCAGAACTTAATGGGCAGCTAGTGGATACAGCACCAGGCTTGGAATCAGGGAGACTCATCTTCTTGAGTTCAAATCTGTCCTCAGACACTAGTTGTGTGACTCTGGGCAAGTCTTAAACCTTTCTGCCTCAGTTTCCTTATCTGTGAAATAAGCTGGAGAAGGAAATGGCAAACCATTCCAATATCTGCCAAGAAAACCCAAAATGGGGTCACGAAGTCAGACACAACTGAACAATAGAACTTAAAACAAAGTTTATCAATTAAAAGAAAGTTTAAGGTGGCAATATTATAAGACAGATGTAATTACCCCGGGCAGCTATAAAAATAGGTGAGTACTCCATGTTGTTCCTAGTTTTAGAAAATTTTTAGCTTCACATCTGGTCTCTGTGGCCCATGCAATCTCACTCTGGTTTTTCCTAGCCCATCTAAGAATCAGAAAGGCAAACAAGATGTAAAGGGGTTAGTCTAGTGTGCATTTCCATCAGAAGGGAGGGAACCTCTAATAGATGTTTACTCCATAGATTTTAGGAGGAAAAGAAATGACTGGAAGGTAACCAGGGAGACATCTCTTCTAAACTGGAAGGATAGCTCCTGGCAGTTGAAATTAAGTAATTATGGAACTATATCACAAGCAGGCAGGGAGTAAATTTGGGCACTCAAACTGCCACCTCACTCTAGGTGGAAGGTTAGGTGTTCTGTGAAGTGTTACGGGGAAGACAGAGAGCTGTTCTGCCAGTGGGACAGTCATGTTTCTACCTCAGTTGAGTTGCAGCCGAGCTCCCTTTGTCTCTAAACTGAGCTACATTAGAGGGTAGAAAGAGGCTCCATGCTCATCATTTTGGGTCCAAACACATGATTTCATTAGTGCAGAGAATTTCTGATGTGAAAATTCTTTTACTGCAGATCTGCAGGTCATTTCAGATATAGCCCAGGGCACTATAGCGACTTAACCAGTGGTCACAAGGGCTGGTGTTTGTCAGAGGCAGGCCTCCAGGCTTTCCTGACTCTAAGTCACTGAAACTCACTGCCTCTTATAACTGAAGAAAATAGCTTTCTAAGAAAAGGACTTTAAAAAAATGCCCCAAATAGGTTAGCTCATAGGATTTATGCCAAAGGGACAAGAAAGACTAGATTTTGGGTGTTACCTGATGACCATTAGGCTAAGTAATAATAGCTTTCTTCATAACAACACTGTGAGGCAGGAAACATATCACTTCCTTTTTATGGATAAGGAAACTAAGGTATTACAAACAGAAAAATTAAGTGATTTGTCTGGGGTCACACAATTGCTAAATGCCTGAGTTGGGACTAGAACACAGGTCATCTCATTTCAGCTTCCTACTGTATCACACACAGAAATATTCATGGGGTGGAGGGAGAGCTCTCAAGGACATATGGAATTTAGACATCAATTTCAGTGAGGACGTTGGTTTGAGAACTAAGATTAGTATTGTCCTTTAGGATTCTAGTAAATAGGCAGGTCACATATCTTCTGATCAACCACTCGGAAGGTCTGGGAGAAACACTTGAGAGAACAAAATCCGTTTTTAACAAGGCTTCAGGGTTAAAAAAAAAAAATTTTTTTTAACATGGCTGGGTGATCAGAGTCCTGATGAGTTTAACGGCTTCTGTAAGAAATATTTCATGGGAAGAGTGGCTAACAAGGTTCCAACTTGCTACTGTGTCACAGGGTTGCTTGTAAGGAGCGCCTAAAGACTATGTTATAAGCTATTGTTATTGAAGAGATGCTGTAGAAAGAGGGACTTTTATCCACTGAATCCCAAGGCCAGGGTGGACCAGTCTTTGAACTCAAGGAGACGGGGGCACTGCACTTGAGAATTTAATATCCCTAAAGTAGATTTTGAACTTATTCCACTCTAAGGGGTCTGGTTGGTTTATGGACAGCCAGAAGCACTTGAGAATTTCATGGAGAGGGAATACTCCTCACCTAGCACCTTTCCACCAAGGGTCCTTAACTTTATTTTGTCATTGTCGTCTTCTAAGAGTAATGATTTTAAATGCATAAGATAAAATACAAAAGCTTATAAGAAGCCAATTATGTCGAAATACAATTATCAAAATATTTTAAAAAAGCAGTTCATAGATTATAGGTTAGGAATTCCTGACATAGAGAGGGTTCCAAAGTGGTACTTCAGAAACTTTAATTCTGTGAGGAACAGGGATTAAAGAATAAGCCACTAATCAAAGAATCAAAGTTTAGAATAAATAGAAAAGGAAGAAAATCAATGAAGAGAACAAGGTAAAGAAATCCTTAAAAGGTGCGAGGGGAAAACAACAAAACATAAGCAGAAGGGGAAGAGAGGAAGAGAATTGTGAATTAACCATTTCTGAGGGGGGGAAAAGGAGGAAAAAAGGAAGGGAAGAATAGGATAATAAAAATAAATTAATGAATAAGTAAAACTCCCAGCTAGAGAAAGAATTGACAAAAACAGGAGGGAAGAGGAGGTGAAGAGAAAAAAAGACTCTATGGCCTGCATCAAAGTAGATAAAGTAAAACTAATCATAGGGACAAAGTACTGACTTAAGAGGAACTCAAAACAAAAAATCCTCATTAAAAGTAATAATAGAAATAGAAAAAGTCACAAATTTAAGTCTCATGCTTTTATATGTGAATGGATTAAGTAATAATCCAATAAATGGATAGGAATACAAACCACCATGATCTGTTGCTTACAAGGAAGACATCTAAAAAACAGCCATACGTAAAATAAAAACTAGAGGCTGAAACAAAATTTACTATGCACCAGGTGAATCCAAAGAAGGAGTTCCAAGTATGCTGTAAGACAATGTAAAAATAAAAATTTATAATATAAATGGAGATGAACAAGGAAAATTGAATTATCCTTAAATGAAACTTGAGACAATGAACCAAAAATAATATTAAACGTTATAAATGACATAGCATCTAAAATAATAAAAGTTAAAAACTGCAAAAAGACAGATAACAACATAGCAGTAGGAGACTTTAACATTCTTTTGTCACAGACAAAACTAACAAAGATAAATGAAAGGAAAAATATAGAATTGAACATATTGTTGGAAAAATTAAAACTTAATGACTTATGTATAGTGCTTCTGAATGGGAACCACTAAAGAATTTAAATATTTCTCAGCACCACAAGGCACTTTTACAAAAACTGATTATACAAGAAGGCAGATATACTAAACATATCTTTTGCAGACAATAATGCAATAGAAAATAACAATTCAGATAGGTAATAGAGGAAAAGATATTTTGTGTTGAGGGAAAAGTTCAGTTTCAGACACCATGAATTTAAAGAGATGAAAGGATATTAAAATGATAGTTTCCAGTAAATTGTTATAGATAGGACTAGAGTTTTGGAGGGTCAGGGATAGAAACATGTTGGGGAAACCGGTGTATTTGCAGTACTCCTGAAATGGGAAACCAGAGCAACCACAGGATTTTAGAAAACTTTATTATTAATATCACTGGCTGAATGATACTCCAGTTTCTGCTACAGATTATTTTGAAGAACAATGGCCATGGTACATATAGTAATAGCAAACTATGAATATCTGAAAGAAGTGTCTCTCTTTACCCCAAAAAAGACATATTGTACTCACATAACTGAAAAGATCTCTAATGTTTAAATAACATATACTTCATTAAAAATAAAATTTGCAAGTTGTATTTTGGCAGTTAGTACCCATTACAATCGATGCAGGTCAGATGATGACAGATATAAAAATAAGAACTACACACATTTATGTTTGGTTGTTACAAAAATGAATATGATGGTTGAAGGAATGATCTATTTTTAGGCTTTGGTGGAGCCATAATCCCTAATTTTCTACTGGTTCCTGAAGTTACTTGAGAACTGTAAGATGCTGAATTGGATCCAAATGCATTTGAGGATTTGCTTTTAGAAGATGCCTTTCTGCACGTGTTAGACAACCTAGAAATATGACCAGAGAAATCCAAATTAAACCATGTTGATTTTATTTTGACTGGTAAAATAAAATTACTCTTACCATGTCTTATTTTAGGCAAATGTCTAAATAAAACTCTTACCAAACCAAATGAGCAAAGAGTAAGAAATGCCCTTGAAATGGAATAGGACGAGGTAAAATGATCTGCAAGTCCAATCCTGCCACTAATAATATTTCCTACATTAATATAAGAATTGCCATATTGAGTCATACACATGATCAGACCAATATTGTCTTTTGCAAGGCCAAAGATGTCTCGAGTGGGTATGGTTACCTTCCTTAATGTGAATCTCAAAGAAACGGGATATGCCAAAGACATTCTTGTTTTGTTTAATAATCCATTATGGATTCCTTTTTATACCTATCTTTATTTTCAGCCTGTACAACTTCTTGGTGGTAATAAGTTCCTTGAGTTTACTTCTTGATATGTAAAGTAATCTTTTTCATTTACCTAAGTATACTTTAAAGAAAGTTATCCCCTAGATCAGGGAGTTCAACAAGTTCATTCTATTTGTCCATATACTTTGCAATTTTAAAGATTTTGATTTCATAGCCCTTTGTTCCAGTTTGTTATAGTTACTCATCCACCACTGATTCTGTTTCAAACAACTTAAATAAATGAAAACACCTTAAAGTAAAGCCCCCAAACTCTTGGCCCATGTGTACCACGTAATCATATCCACATTCGAGGAAAACGTATCTCTGGGAAGAAGTGGTAAGAAGACTATTTTCTCATCTTCCAAACAGCCTATTCTTGGCATGGATGGGTAGGTGAAACCATGCTGATCCTTTTTAAAATGACAGCAGAGAAGAAAGTGGAGCTGGTTTGCTGGGTGGGCATAATGGGCAAAGGTAACACGAGCTGCTTTTGGTCCCAATCCACTGGTGGGAGGTGCTGTATTACATCCAATTACCTTTTAACTCAGAAAGGAAAGTGGGAGTGGAATGGTAGGCTAAGAAGGTGAGGAAAGTCTCCAGCTGCAGCTCCCACTCCCCCCAAATGGTTTACTTCCAAGTCCTCCCAGCACCGTCACTTCCCCTTCTGACCTAAAGATAATGGCTTTTTACAAAACAAAAACAAAGAAAACCCACACTGCCAGACTGCTTATAAAGATAATGGCAGTGTTATCTATAGAAGCTTTTTGCTACAGAGCTATTTCCTGCTGTATTGAAACTGTGCTGAATTTATGCCCAGCATTAATTCCATGGCATTCTGACATGCCACTAATGTTTCTACATTTCTTTGGGGCATGTTGTTATGACTATAGTCTTCTGTTGGTCAATGCTGGTCTTCTTTCAGTGCTGAGGACTGTTAAAACTTTTGTTAAATTAACTCTTGCTCTTCTTTCTTTCTTTCTTCTTCTTCTTCTTTTTTTAAAGGCAACTGGGGGTTAAGTGACTTGCTCCAGGTCTCACAGCTAGTAAGTGTCAAGTGTTTGGTCTGAGGCTGGATTTGAACTCAGGTCCTTCTGACGTCAGGGCCGATGCCCTATCCACTGCACCACCTAGCTGTCCCAACTCTTGTTCTTAAGTAATTTAATGTAGAACATGGCAAGGGGCTAGATGATAAAGTGGTAGGTCTTGGTTGTTCTGAACTGGAAGGGAAACAGTTTTTTCCAGTTTCCATAAGTTGACCACTTGCTGAGAAATAAAACCTCAAATGAATATCTACTGTTTTTCCTGGATTTGGTGAATATTAAGTTTGCAAGCAGTCAATTCCATTTCACTTGGGCAGTTTTTTTTTTAACCCATTGTCAGAATATCAAATACACAACTGGCTTATTGTTAACTGTTTGGAAGAGGCAAAACATAGGGACAAAAGGGCCTGGGTTAAGGATTCTGAAAGACAGTCATCTAGGTCAGTGGGCACAATGTAATGAGAAAATTCTCATCTACAGAAGCTTGATAAATAAAAATGGAATAGTAATAATAAACTGGTTTTTCATTTCTAAGAGAGGGTGTGGCATAAAAATTTATAACAAATAGAAGTGTATATTGGAGTAATATGCTTGATAACATTATTAAAATTTATCATCAAAATCTGTGAAGCTATTTGGATAAAGCTGAATTTCATTTATATCTACAAGATTTGAGGCCAGATTATAGAGGGAAATGTTTCTCTTTTATAAGTAAACAAAATAGCCCCTGGTTTAAGATTAGACCAAAATTAAAATTATTTGAAAGATCATTCACCTGTTTAGGAAACAATTACATTTTGTACATGCTCTATTAGGGAAATAAAACATTTCCCAAAGCAGCAGAGCAAAGGAAGAAAATATGAACACTGAAATCCCAATGGAATAACTGCTGGTCTCTGGTGTACTGAACACCATAAACTCATTCTTAGTAATGAGCTTAAATTCCTGGGCATTGGCAGAAGAACTAGCATATAAAAGGTAGTGATCCACCTAGAAAGTAATAACCAAGGAAAACATGACCTCTGTCCCAACTCCAACCTAATTTTCTATTTTACTCTCTAGGAGGAAACAAGGGAGAACACAACAGCTTACAAAGCTTACTACAGATTTTTCCCATTATCTAAAAACATCTCTGTGAAAATGTCGTTATTTTTAGTTTCACATTCTTTAGATTTAAGTAACAGCCACAACCCTACCCATCCCTTAACTAAACAGGCAGCAATCCAGAGCTCTCTTTTATGGCTATAATAGGAAGGCTTGCAGAGAGGCAACAAGGAAAAAGAAATGAAAAATAACGCCAAGACCTCTGAATTATACTGCTCTGTATGGACTTGACAAATCAAACACATGATGCTTTTGCTTTCCTTACAAATAAATAACCATGGTCTACATTTTCTTTCACCCTGAATTCACCAAATAACCCTATTTCTGTTTTTTAATTGGCTCCTAAAATTAAAAGTTGATGTTATATTGGTACTTGGAATCAACTAATTTTAAATTAGGATTTGCAATTAACTGCTGAACAGGTTATATATGTAGTTCTCTTCTGGATATTCCAGGTTGCAACCCTCTCCTGGGTGCTGTTGCAAGGGTGGAGAGAGAAATCTCAGTCGTATATAAAAACAAGCAGTCGTTTTTTTCCCCATCATGTTCCTAACATACTAATCCATCAACTTGCAGAGATTCAGAATCATATGATTTTGAAGAATTTTAATATAAAAAAGGGCAAATATTAATTAAATAGATAATTCTATAGTGAAGAGTTAACTACCTGGTATTATGTAGAGATATGATAAACTAGTATATAATCAGCTCAAGAAAATCAGCTATTTTGAAAATAATCTAGATGGAATCACAGATAATTTAAGAATCTGAAATGATCTTTTTTTCCTCAAATCTGAGCTAGCAAGTTTGTTAATGGGAAATGTAACCATTAAGTCATTTTATCACTCTGAGCCCTGGTTTCTTCATTTGTAAAATAGGATAATAATACCTGCCTGGAGTATTATCAGGATCAAATGAACTAATGTATATAAAAATATTTTGTCAAGTGAAAAATACTACACAAACATAAGGTATTATTCAACAGTACCTAGCATCATGTATATACTTTAATAAATATTTGTTAAATGAATAATGAATGCTTCAAACAAAACCAGAGTCATAGTACAGTTTTCTTCCTGCTACAATGGTTTGCAAAACATAACCCAAAGCAAAAGAAACATACCTCCTTGAATTTGATTGCTGGCTCCCATGGCTTGTTTTTTTCCTTTTGGACTTTTGAAAGGTTGGCAACCTTCTCCTCTTCCTCTCATTTTTAGTTTTATTTGAAAAATAGTGAGAAGATACTTGCATTTCTTCTTCATTTCTTTCGGCATTGTGAGGACTTGGCAATAGGGAATCATCATTAGCTACAAATGGACAATAATACATACTCTTAGGCAACACTGTTTTGGTTTCAAACTAACATTTTTATAGTTGAGGGAAATAAAGTTTTTGGATATACCGCTTCCTGGTATCCTGGCAGTTCTATGAGCTAGGGAATTTAGTTGAAACAAGAGAGAACTTAGCGGATTTCAATCTCGGAGTTAAAATTTTTTTTTCTTTTTGAGTTCCATAAAGGCAATTTATTCATAATGTAAGCCACAACTCAAGAAGCAATTCTCAGCATTTTGGGAGTTATGACACTTGATGATTTATTCATTTTCATAACATCCCTTTCTCACTCATATCCCAAATACTCAATGGCAGTACACAGACAATTAATGATATATATATATATATATATATATATATATATATATATATATATAAAATCAGTTGAGATAACTAGATACAATCTGGGAGGTCACAAAACCAGGATTGTGAACCATTTTCTTAGTGGTTCATATTAAATAACACATGTAGAACATCTTGGGTATTTGACAAATTTTCACTAATATTTGGGGCAGAATGAGAAACTGGATTTTAATTGGGTTGCCAATAATATTAAAGTATGAAAGTACTTTGAAACATGAAGTGCTATGCAAATACAGTGTCCCAGAAGTATTAGTGCAGCATTAAGTTATTAAAGCTAGCATTAATTTAATTATAATAGGGAAAAAAGGCTGTTGGACAAGAACTATCTTTAGCAAGGTCTATATTTGACTAGTCAGCATGGTGTATCATGCTGCATAGCACACTGGATTGAGTTAGGAAGTAGATCAAGGTTCTAGTTCTGGTGCTGCCACAACTTGCTGTGTGATTACGGACACATCACTTTACCTCTGGGTCTCAGTTTCCTTATCTATAAAATGAGGATGATGATCCCTACTAAGGTTTTTCCCAGTTCTCAGCATTCTGTGGTGCTATTACTAATTGTAACCATATTTAAATAGGAACAAGTACTTCAGTACAAGGTAAAAACTTATTTAACAGTTAAGCAACAAAAAATTCTAGATGAACTTTTCTTTTTATATGTACAGACACATCTTCACATAACAGCTGTGAACATTTCACTAATTATGTTGTCAAAGAGTGTCTATGAATGCATACTTCCGCAGCAATGATAATTTATAAAATGGTTTGCATTTCAGAGTACTCTGAAGTCATAGAATTTGTCTGTAGAACACAACTGTGACTCTCTTTCTACTGACTGGCTGGTAAGCCAGAAAGACCTGCTCCAGTCTACGCCGCCATAGGGATGAGTCTTCATGTCATCACTAGCATGGAAGGCAGGCTTCGCTATCCATTATAGTCCTATTTCATCTACACCTGAGTAGCTTCCAAATATTTGTCATACTGAAGATGATTCCTCTTCATCAGAGGCAGAGAGATAGATAGTATGGTGTAATGAAAAAAATCTTGGCTGAGAGTTAGGAAATCAGGGTTCTAAACCTGGTCCTGTCACCTCCAGTAGTGTATCTTTGAGCGTGTTACTAAATGCCTTTAGGTCTCATTGTCTTTATCTCTAAAATGAGGGGGATGGACTAGATGATCTTTAAGGTGCTCTTTCAGCATTAACATCTGATGATTCGAGTTTGAAACTGGAGAATGTCTAATTTATTTTTTTGTGTATTCAAAATAAAGTTCAATTTTGGATAACTATCACAAATAAAACATTAAGAGAATTATGTTAGCCCTACTTCTCAAAAACATTTTTTTTATCAGAAAATTATAAAAATAATGATGGAGAACTCTCATCAACACTGTGACCAATCTTAACTCCAGGAGACTGATAGTGAAACATACCTCCCTCTTCTTGGCAAATAGTGGACAATAACTCCGAAACAAGGCATATGCTATTAGATATGGGCAATGTGGTGGTATATGTGTTGCCTTGTGGGAGTCCTTCATTAAAAGAAGTTTCATCAGAGGAATCATTGAGGAATGACTGCTATGATAAAGAAATCAACATCAATAAAACACTGGTGTTTTGGAACACCAAACCTGAAAAAGTTCTTAGGTGTAGTGGGCTGAGCTAGGCTTAAGTTGTTCAACAAGCATTTAGTAGGCCCCTACTATGGTGCCAGGCACTGAGCTAAGTGCTAGGGATTCAAAGAAAGGCAAAACAGTCCTTGCCCTCACAGTCTAATGGAGATGAGGGGCAGGGGGAGATAACAGGCAAACAATTATGTACAAACAAGATATATACAGGGTAAACTGGATATTATCTTAGAGGAAAGGTGCTAACATTAAGGAAGATGATGAAAGATTTTTCATAGAAGATGGGATTTTATTTGAGATTTGAAGGAAGTCAGGAGGTAGAGATGAGGAGGCAAGAATTTTGGACATGGGGGTAGTCAGTGAAAATGCATGAATCTGGAGATGCAGTGTCTTATGAGAAGAATAGCAAAGAAGCCAGTGTCACTGGATTGGAGTACACGAAGGGGAGTAAGGTAGAAAAAGATGGGAAAGTGGGATGCAACCATTTAATGAAGAGTTTTAAAAGCTCACGAGATTTTATATTTGATCCTGGAGGCGACAAGAAGCCACTGAAATTTACTGACTAGAGGAATGACATGGTTACAACTGTGTTTTAGAAAGATCTCTTTGATAGCTGAGTGGAGGATGGCCTGGAATGGGGATACACTTGGGAGAGCAACCAGCAGGCGATGGTAACAGTCCAGGTATAAAGTGATAACGATCTGTACCCAGGTTATAGCTGTGTTAGAGGAGTGAAGGGAGTGTATGAGAGAGATTTTGAAGGTGGAAATGATAAGACTTGACAGACTAAATATGGGAAAGAAAAGGACACCTAGGCTGTGAGCCTGAATGACTAGAAGGATGATAGTACCCTTGAGATATTAGGGAAGTTAGGAAAACCTGAGTTCAAGTCCTGCCTCTATTACCTACTGGCTGTGTGACCCTGGGCAAGTCATCTCTTTAAGACTATAAGTTGTAAAGAAGGTGCTAACCTGCATAAAGGTCAAGTCCTTATGCCTATCTAAGATACTCTAGGAACCTAGTTTCAAAAAGAAACTATCTGTAAAAGTAAATAAAAACATGAAAACTGCACCTTGACATTGTGTCTAATTACAAGGCAATACATTAGAGGGAAAATATAAAAGACTACTCTTTTGGCATATGCTAAAATAGTTTTCATTCCCAACAGTTCCCTTATTAAAGCTTCATAATAAAGAATATCAAAAGGACAGCAGCTATAGGAGTCTTTTGACATTGCTTAATCGAATGCTCAGAAATGGTTATATTTCTCAGGAATTTTTGTAACAGGTATTTTTATGGACAAAGAACACACAGATTTTATATTGTATGTTCTTCTGACAAAAATTCTGATCTACTTTTTGACTTTATCTTTATATTATTCCTAAAAGTAGATCAGCCATTATTCCCATCTTGCAGATAGTGAACTATGGCACAGAGAAGTTATATGTAGCTTTCTCAAGATCACATAGCTAATTAATAGCTAAATTAGAATTAGCATCCATAACGATTCCTGTCCCTGTATAAATCACCGGCCACGTAAGAGCAAACTACCTTCTGTTCTTTCGTTCCTGTCCTTCTTGACCCTACCTTACCCATGCCTCACTTCAAACCCACTCAGCCCTTCCACTGGCTTTATGGAATTCCCATAATGAATAGCTTCCTCTTCTCCCTGTACCTGTTACTCTTACACTCGTCCTTACCGAGACCTGGCTCTTTACTGATGACTTGATGATACTGCATCCTCTCCAGAATAGACCATATCTCCCCAATTAATACCCTGTCCCCCTGAAATTAACAGACAAATCTTGCTGTTTCTGTCTCCATAACATCTCTTACATCTGACTTCCTCTCTTTGCTCATAGAGCTATCACCTAGTTAGGGCCCTCTTACCTAGGTTATTTCAACAGCTTCTTACTTGATCTCCTGCCTCAAGTCTCTCACCATTCCTGTCCATCTTGTATACTTCTGCCTAAGTAGTTTTCATTAAGCATAGATCTGTCCATGTTATTGCCCTACTCAATCAGCTCTAATGGTTCCTATTGCCTCTAGGATAACATATAAGACTTTCACAGTCTGGTCCTGGTCCTAATCTATTTTTCAGTGTCACTGGACATTACTCTCCCTCTGACACTTTCTGATTTAGCCAAATTGGCCTCCTCTTTGTTCCTCATAAGACATCTCCACCTTTTCCATCTGTGTCATTATAGTGGCCAGTCCACATTTCTGGAATGCATTTCCTCTTCAGCTCTGCCTCAAAGAATATCTCCCTTCCTTCAAAGACAGAACTCAAGCACAATCTTCTTCATGCTCTTTACTGATTTTCCTAGCTACTCATATCCTCTTTCCCAAATTATCTTGAATAGATTTCTATTTATTCACTTCATATTCATTCTGTACACACACACACGTGCGTGCAAGTGCGAGTACTTGTCCTTCCCATTAGAAGGTAACCTCCTTGGGAGTAGGGATTTTTGTATCCAAGCGCCCAGCATGGTGCCTGGCACATTGTAGGAACTTAATGAGGTCTGCTAACTTTGGTAACTTTTTCTACTATATCATGCTATTCTATGGTCCCACCTTCAGTTCTTTAAGGTGATAATTACATTTAATTAAGTTACATTCTAGTGTACTGGGTACCCTAATGGCTTTTAAGAACAAGCGCAACTTTTAAAGGGACCTATACTCCTGCTGAATAACATGCTTTTGGTGTTGTTGGGTCTGGCTCTCTATGTCAAAGCGTAAACACTGAACAGAAAGTAAAAAGCCATGTGCTTATCCAGGGGTTTATTTTTTAGAGACACAGATTATATAAATAACTCTTAAATAATAAACAAAATAAAATATTGTTGTATTGAAGAGATACTGAACCTGGCAATGTCCACTCAGAGTATTTCTGGAGTACTGAAATCACTTCAGCACCGTATTTTTCCAGTTTGTCTTCTGTAACGCCATCAATCTGAAGTAAAACCTCAGGATCAGAAGATAAAGACTCTATGTATAGGTATAAAACAAACAGAAATCAGATTATTATGAAACATTGAATAAATAGTACAAATTAAGCAATGGGGATTTAAAATACATAAAAGTACTAAAAAAATTAGTCTCTGCTCTTGAGGAGTTTACAATCTATCAAGGGGCACAGGACATACAAAGACAGAAACCAACATCAACATCATTTGTACTTGTTAAGTACCAAATGAACGGCAATCGGAAGACGAGTAATCATGAAAAGCTGAGATGGTTGGGAGAAGACAGTACTACGACTGGGTTATGAAGTAGTAAAGAACTGAAAAGACAGCATCTATGGCAAGAGGGACAATGTAAATAAAAGTGTACAAGTGAGAATGTGCATAATTTAACTAGGAAGACAATTAATAGACCTTTCTGACTGGAGTACTACGGGTAATATTGGAGATCTAGGTAGGAGCCAGACTGTAGATGGACTTGAATGTCAGCTTAAGGAGTCTAATAGTCTTTATCATGTAGATAACAGGTTTGGAAATTTTTGAATTGAAGAAAAGGCAGTGATGTGCAGAATAATGTTTTCATCTATGGAGGCAGTGTTTAGGATAGGCTGGTTGAGTAAAAAGACTGAAGACATGAAGAACAATGTGATCATTACAACTATCCTAGGGTTAAGTGAAAGGGACCAGGCTAGGAAGTGACGGAAGAATGGAAAATAAGGGGCTATTATGAACTACTGCAAAGGAAGAATTTGGAAGAAAATGAGTGTTATTTTCAATTAATTATGGGAGTATTTAACTCTTCTATGAATTTTAATGTTGAAGCTGATGGGATCATGAAAATACTTCCTATCCTAAGGCACACCATTAAGAGAACAATATGAAAAACAATATAATGCAGGATATATTCTTACCAAAGGGCTATTTTATCCGGACTGAAATTAAACTACATTTTTAAGCTTTCAACTCCAGAGACCATGAATTTTAGACAGAAGATTCATTAGTAAAATTAATTTTTGGTCTATTAATTTATAGTTCAAGTAACAGAAGGTCCATACATACCTGCAAGCTTTTTCAGAGTAACGGTATTAAATATGTTGAAATAATGGACACCAAAAACCTTCCCGAGACCTTTGCAGACCTCTGTAAGTTCTCCCAGGCACTTCTTAACTAGTTCTTCTCTCTGGGAAATCTTTGCTACTAAAGCCTTTTGCTTTCTTATACCACTGAAATTCTCAGTTTCCAGAAAGTCCACCTTTGGGGGAAAGAAAAAGTTATATACTGAATTGTAAATAAGCAAATAGATACTTTATAAGTAAAATGAAAATCACTTATGTGTCAGTGAGCTGATGGACAAATAAATTTCTATTTAATTTTGATGTATCCAGTACGACTATTTTGTTGTTCATCCTTCATTTTTTGTTTTTTTTTTTGTTCGTTTTTGGTGAGGCAGCTGGGGTTAAGTGACTTGCCCAGAGTCACACAGCTAGTAAGTATCAAGTATCTGAGGCTGGATTTGAACTCAGGTCCTCCTGACTCCAAGGCCGGAGCTTTATCCACTGAGCCATCTAGCTGCTCCCAGTATGACTATTTTGATTCAGTTTTTATTTAAAGTTTCCAGAGAAATGATTAGAAATTCATAAGGACAGAATGAACACAAATTTACAGGACTACCTTTTATAAAATATATATTGCAATATATACATATACCCACACACACATTCAAACATACAAATGTTTATGGTCTGCCTAACATACAACTATTCCTCTTTATTTACTTGAAAGATGCAGACAGAAGGTAAAGTTAAATTTAAATTTCAAATGATCTACCTTTAAATACCCATTCAAAACTGCTTGGGCTTTCTCGCCTAACATCACATAGGCAATTGCTTGGTCATTAGCATTGATGTACAAATCTTCATCCAAAATTTTGTCAAGTATCAGCTTTTTCAAAAGTCTTTCGGCATTATGTCGTGAATAAGCAGCTCCCTTCCCAAATATGCCTGATTGAATCTTAGCACTTTTACTCCCTGAGGAGAAAGTATAAGAAGTTTCTTTAGCATGGATAGGTAATACCACCAATATCACACTCCCTAGTGATTTCCACAGATTGACAAGTAAGTTTGAACTAGACAAAACATGGATTAAGTCTGAACATACTATTTCATAGGAAATCTCATGGAGAGATAGAAATGGATGGATGGATATCTCTTACATCTTTAGATCTGTTTTTTCTTTTAAATCATCTATGTAAAAATACCTGCCCTTCCCCCTTCATGATAAAAATAAGATGTGGCATCTTGCAAATATTATACTTCTTGGGATAAAATGCTCTTAAAGGATGTAAGTATTCAAAGAAATGTTCTATATAACAAAGTTAATTCCATAACCTTAGCAACAGTGTTTTGCTGATTGTTGTTCGTATAACTCTTATTTTTGAATAATAAGAAACAAAATTAATTTGTGTGTGAATTATATGCCATTCTGTTCTTCTTATACAGCAAAAAGGAGGGTTGTTTTGATTTGCCATTAAACAATAATTAAACATAGACTCCAACTGCCTCAAAATATGCTAAAGAAACACCATCAAAGAAACACAAGTAATTTCTAAATCATGCACCAAAAAAAACCAAAAACCAAAAAACAACAAAACACCTAAATATATCTAAAACAATATGGAGGAAAAGGATAGAAGTTTGCAATGTGTTTTTGATGTTTGTTTATTATTTCCTGGCAGGCTTCACATTCATCTCATAGAGGTTTTGAAAAAAGGATTCCTAACACTGTCCTTGCTATGAATACAAGTTCATGGCAAGGATCTATTTTGATGTTCTAAGAAGTTCATTATGAGAACTGACTTGTGATGAAATTGGCTAACAGCCTTTTAATACAGCTTCCCTCTAAAACGTTAATACCGTCACACTTTTCACATAAACTTTTACAAAAGTGGTTAAGTAATGATATAAAAGCTAATTTTGTATTCTTATGAAACTATTAAATACTACAGGAATATAGAATTGCTTTCTTCTCCATATCCTTAACAAATTCCCTGGACCTTGTTTACAGAGAGTAAAATCTACCACTCAAACAACTTACCCAGGAAAATATCAACTAGCATGTTCATAGTAAATCTTCCACAAGAGCCCATATTCTTCGTATTTCTTTCTCCATTCAGTGAATCATGCTCATGAACAAACTTTATGATGTTCTTCACGTCTTCTGTCACATCCCTTGTCTTGTAATCCTACCAGTAGCAAACAATTGTTTCTGTTACAACTAAGATGGCACCTCGTTTCCAAATCCTTTACATTGCCCATAATAGGCCCTTTATACAAGACAACAAATTATAGGATTTTCAGATTCTCTTTCTTCTCTACCTTCTGCTGAATTTATTGGTCTTCCCTACAAATCATACTGTCTTGTTCTCTAATTGTTTCATAGATGTTAGTCTTATTTCCTCAACTAGATTACAAAATATATGTGGGTAAACTCTATCTTTTACTTGTTTTGTGCTAGGCTCCAGAGCACCTAGTTCAACGAGAGGCACACAGCAGGGGTTTGACGAATACTGGTTTGAATTAACCAAACTTCCTAAATACATTAAGAAGAATTAGGTAAATATAATAACACTTGAGGGGACAGGTCCTATGAGACTAGTAAACCATTCCTAAGATGTAAATTGGATAAAGGCATCTGCTGGCATTCTATACATTTTTATTAATTTTGTATAATAACACAGTTGGTCTAATACACACAGAGAATTGCAAATCTACTTATTTTTCTGGATGAGGATAAACCTTATTACCTAGCTCCACTGAAAACAATAGTTTTTGCCCTGTGCTATAAATACATTTTGCTTCATTTCAAATGTTTTGTGTGCCTGGGTGCCTTTGATTCCCTTCCCTAATTCTGAAAAACCCTAAAAACTCAGCTTAATAACCAATACATACACAAAAGACTAACTATTCTGGAGAGTTAGGTATCCATTATCTTTTTTTACAGATCTTTAGGAAAGGAAATAGCATAAAAACCACTTGTCACAACATGTTTTCAATAATGCTTAATTTTACAGAATCAATGTTTTTTCTTCCTGTTCATCCTTTAAATCTAACTTATATTTCATTTCAAAAGCAACCCAGTTACCACCCATCCCCCAACATTAAAAAAAAAAAGCCACAAAATAAAACCCCCTCATTTTACCTTCTTTTTGCAGCAATTATCACAAGTCACATCTGGGTATTCCTTACAAAAATTAGGATTAAACTCATTTTCTCCAAAGTATGACAAAAGCTGGAGTCTTCGGCACTCTACTATATTTTCACAGAAATGTACCATGCTATACAGATTATTGAAGTGAGTCTGTCGTGTATGACTGTTTCCATCTTTCTCCACTGAAAATTTTAAGGCATATCACAGAAAAATACACTTAGAGCAAAAACAGATGAATATTATTATTTATAGGTTTTTATAGGAAACAAGATAATTTAACGAAATCAGAAAGTTACTGACATTATCATAGGTTAAATCTTGTTACAATGAACTGAACAGGGTTAGTCATAATCTTATATTTTGCTAAAATGTCAATAAATTGAGTTTTTCTTGGAATAAGTAACTGACAAGAAAGGGCTTGGGAATCTTTTTGTTAGAAACCTTTCAGTAATGGGAGCTAACCTATTAACTATTACTGAATCAAATAACAAGTAGTTTATTATGTGCCAGACACTGTGTAGTGATACAAACCAAAAGTAAGTTCCTGCCTTCAAGTGCTTTAACAAAGTGCTTAGTGAACTTCCTTTTCATACATGGTATAGAACCATGTACTTTCCAAAAACAGAACTGTAAAAATAGTTAAATTTGGATTGCATTATAATTGATGATATCATATCATTTCACTTATCCATTAGAAAACCCAAGGCTAATAAAATATAATTCAAATTTATGTGACATTTTGCATTTTATAAAGCGCTTTCCCTACAACATCTGATGTGGCAGGTAGAACTACTCCTAGTTTATCACTGAGTTAAGACAGGTTATAGGAGAAGTCTTAACCTTCTTTGTGTCAAGGTTCTCTTTGGCAAACTGATGAAGCTCAGGGATCCCTTTGCAGTATGATATTTTCTCCCCACCTTCATAACTGAAAGAAATGCTAGGTTTCAGTAAAGGTCAGAGAAAATAAAGATATAATTTTTTTCCCATCCAAGATCACAGAACTCCTAAAACTATATTCATGAATGATGTGGGTGGGGAGCCATGACTCCAGATTAAGAACCTCTGGGTAATATAATAATTTGCCCATAAAAACAGAACTAGAAAGTACCAGGTCAAGGACCTAAATCCAGGTGTCTTACTGATGCTGCCTTGCCACTTCTTTAAACTGTTAATATCTGCCAAAAACTTCTCCAACCCCTTCACTGAGCAAAACAAATCAACACATCAAATGCAGATTCAGCTATACTATCTCACCCTTCAAAGGCTGATACTGAAGTGTTATTATGAGTATTTAAAATATAATTTTAAAAGTACCCTTCATTAAATTTTAGTACCAGTTTTAAAAATTTTAGTCATTTCTAAATCGTTCCCTATCTATATGAAGTGTTCCAAAAGTCTTAGCTAGCAGATTTAAGCTAATAAAGCTTTATTAGCTTAAATCTGTAACTAAGGCTTGTGGAACACCCTGTATAAATATTTTGGTTGTTGTTCTATGACTATGTGTTAATCTAAGGGTAATATGACCAAGGGGAAGACAGACTGAAGACTCCATAACATTCCACAGAAAATTTTAGCTTACTAAGAATAAGTCTCTTAAGTCTGGTTACATCATGATAGCTGTAGAAAAGCAGACAGTGAGACATTTCACCATCTCTTCCAGCTCTGCCAGATTCCTGGTAATATCCTTCTACTGATTTTGGGAGAGATGAATGAATAACATAGCGCACATCTGGTTTGTCAATCCCCATGCCAAAAGCAATTGTTGCACAGATAACCTGAAATAAAATCAGAAAAGATTAGCCTATAATAAAAAAAAAAAGACAAAATCTAAGTTTAGAGCTGTGGATAATATTTAAGCATAATGAAGTTTTTAATGAAAGTAAGACTATACAGAAAATATCAATAGCTTTCTGGATTTTTTTTGTTAAAGAATTTTTAATACAAAATTCAAAACCTCTCAAAAGTGCTTTCCTTATGAATGCAAAACTAAGATTGCATTTTATTCAAAACATAGGGTGTCCCAAAAGTTTAAGCAGTTTTAAGCTATTATTCTGTATGGTCTGCAAAGAAAAATTTGAATAACAGATGCTTCTAAGAGTTGTATCACCAAATTTTACTTTTAAATATTCTAATGAACTATTCATATTAGGTTAATATTTCAGTTTAGTCACCTCAATTAGCACAAATAATTAATTCTCACATTGGTAATATGTAATCTCCAGAAAATTCCAAAATAAAGAGAGGCTCAGCACTGCAGTAAGGTATCATTTTACTGAAGCTGTCTTGTAACCAAATATTCCTGAGTATTATGAAATAGCTAAGACCATCCTCAATGACAGTTAACCTTGAAGCCCTGGGCCACACTGTTTGTTCTTCCGGGGTTTTGATGTTACAGAGGGAACAGAGTAGAGATGCTACGAGCAAAAGTGGTTCCAACTGTTGTGTGTTTTCAAAGTTCGTTAAATAATAATGACCATCTTCTCCCATAACTCAATCATGAATTTTGCTCTCAGCTGCTCCTCTTGATACCAGCTTACAAGCTTCCCTTTCTCAGAGCTGAACTATCTTGCCATGCACCAACCCCAGGCTCGCATTAATGGTCGGCCAACTTTCAAATTCAAGATGTGTCAAAGTTTAATGGAAGTTCTAGCAGCATAATGCCTTACTTAAAGTATATATACTATATCTGTTGACTGGAAGAATGACTCTCGTGAGTGTCAAAATTTAAAGTGGATCACATTGAAAAAAGGTTTTCTTCAGAAAGCACAAGATGATTTAAAATTAAGAGGAATAAATTACCAATTGATGACTGGCAAGTCTTTGCCTGGAAGCACCATATCATAAAGTCCCAGCCAGGACTCACTTTCTTACTGGTTTGCTTTTTGGTCTGCTCGATCTCCACACTGTTTTGGCCCCCCTGCAGGCCTCCCTCCCCTTCTTTCCACCTCTTCTTTATGTGTTATTTTTATGAATTAGAATATGAGCTCCATGAAAGTAGGGACCATCTTATTTTCTTGTTCTTGTATCACCATTGATTAGCATGGTGCCTGACACAAAGTAAGCACTTAATAAATGCAGTATCTATCAATGAGAAGAGTTACATCAATAACACTTTAAATCATATTAATCTGGTAAAAACAAAAACAAAAACAAAAACAAAGCTACATGATTCAGGCTGTACCACATCGTACAAATAAAATTGTTCAGAGGGGGTTCAACAAATTAATCTCATTTAAAAAAACAAATACATTTTGCTGATGTTTTTACTCATTCATACCTTTTTGCAAAAAATGGGCTGCTCCTGCAAGAACAGAATCTCAAAAGCAATTGATGGTGAGACTGAAGGACTGTGGACTTGTTTTACATCTGTGACTAATATCAGAAAAGGGAGCTGCAGTTTACCTAATGTTTATTTAGCGAAATGTGTACCCTTATTAAAGTAAAGGGTAATTGTGCCGCACTCTAGGTTAGCTGTCCTTCCAAAAATGCATGGCACTATCATCAAGGTCAAGTTTTCTTAGAAAGGAAAGGCATAATGCAGTCTCTTGTGGCAGATGGCAGGTAAAGGAGGTGGTAGGGTATCCACAGAGTGCCCATGTATACACAACAGTGGAATAATGAATTCTAAGTGAGGGTTACATTTAAAGGTAACTGCATTTTTAAAAGGACATCTTTGAGCACATGATTATAAGGCACTGTGCAAAGCCAGAAACATCCAAAGAGCTGAAGGATCTGACATCTTTCAACCGGGAAATCTTGCTTAATTACTAGTTCCTTCTTTTATTTTTCTTCAAGATATATTCGTGTTTAAAAACCACTCACTACAAATTCAGATAATTTCTTTAGGTAAGGAGGGGTTTGAGAGAAAAGTTAGCAGTTTACAAAAAGGCACAAAATCAAGGTTGTCACTTTAGCTGACTGGAGAGAGAAAAAGTATGTGTGTATGTGGGGGTAGGAAGCGGGGAAGAGAGAGAAGTTTGAATCTATCTTGTGAGTCTAGCAAGCTCAAGACTTCCCAACAAGTACAGGATAAGAATTCACCTTGACTATATGGAACACCTAATCAAGTAGCACAAAAAAAACCGATCATTTCATTTGAATAGTTTTTACTTCTTCTTCAAACGTGATATGACATTAGGAAAGTTAGGAGGTCAGAGCTAGATGTTATGTTAACATTACATTTGGATCAACTCAGAATGAATAAGTTTTAACTTTATCTCTATAAAGGTTAAATGCTATCCAAGTTAGAGAAATGTTCTAAGTTCACCCATCTTCCCTCTGAATTTCAATCTCGTTCTGACGTTGAGTGCCTTGCATTGGCTAAGTGCTCCTCCTCTCCAGCGAGCCTTCTGGCCCACTGCTTTCACGTTACCTGGCAGCCATCTTGATTAATCCACTTGTGCTGCACCTCATCTCTAGCTGAATCACTGAGGCCAGCGTGATAAGCAAGGGCAGCGAGACCATCCTTCTGTAAGGTGTCAGCCATTGTGTCACATTCACGTCTGGAAAGGCAGTAAATTATCCCTGAGTCATCTGCAAACAAACCAAAATAGTTTACACTAGGAAAAATAGCCTATTTTACTTCAACACTATTTTTTTTTTTATAAAGGATGGAAAAAGATCATATCGAAAGCATAGTCCAAATAGGTGAATTCCATGAACTGGAAGTGAGGGTACTTAGTTCTAATCCTGGCTCTGCTATTGACAGGCTAGAAGATTTTGGACAAATTATTTTCCCATTTGTAGGTTCTTATTAACAAAAAGGGAATAATAATTGATGCTCTTTTTCTTTCTCACATAACAATATGCACTTAGTCTAAATTTTCCCTGGTGATGGGAGAAAAGGGTTATATGGAAAAATGAAATTAACTTTGGGTCTCATTTTCATATAATCAATTAAAAAGCAGGAAGTGGGTTGGAGAAGGCATAAAAACAAAAAAATCTGGATAATATACAGGCTGATGCTAAGCCAGAGAAAGTAATTATCAACTCAAAAAAAAATCACAATCGAGAGTTAACAACAATACAGATGCAGGTGGTGTATTTCATGTATCTTGTGTTAGTGATTACTGTTGTCAAGCCAAATGGGGTTTTACCAACTCCAGGAATTGGAGAATTGAAATATTTTGTACTATAAATAACCGCTTAGTGCTCTCATAATGAGAAAAGAATTAATATGCAGTCTTCTATATTCCATGTGGTATTAAAAAGACATTTATTTAACACTCCCAAACATAATTCACAAGTCTCTACTCACGTGGGTGATGTTTTCTGATCCATTCTAAGCAATCAAATGCCACCTTTTTCGGTTTTTTGGGCAACACACTATACTTCAGATTATGTCTGTTAAAACTCATGCTAAACCTAGAAAAGACCAGAGTACAAAATTTAGTCTTCTCAGGCACCTTGACTTTTACCATCTCCAGAAGTTTAAAGCAGTGATCATCTAAACAAGGAACTAATACTGACCTGTCTTGACAAGTTGGTTGGGGCTGTTGGAATGGTACACAATGTGTATACAACAATGAAATGGAAGCAAACAAAGGATGAAAAAAGGAAGGAAGTGGTGATAGTAATGGAGTAAAAGGTAATGAGAAAAATGGAATAATTTAGACAAAGAATACAGAGAGGAGAAAAGCAGAGATAACCAAAGTGAGAATTTTAAAAAGTATGCCATACCAGAAGAAAAAGCCTTTACTAAAATCAAAGAAGGCTAAAACAAACAAGTAACAACAACAACAAAATAAATAAAGACCACAGAATTCATGATGGAAGCCACAAAATTGTAGGGCCTCCAATGTCTCTAAAATGTTAAATGCTAACCAAAAGAGTTAGTGAAGGAGTATATAGGAGAAACATTAATATTAAATCTATTCTCTTGCAAAAATTTTCACAAAGTTGCAAGATCTTGACCAATGTTATCCACACATAACATCATACAGTTGGCCTTCCTGGACCTTGGTTTCTCCATCTTTAAAAGAAGATGCTTCCAGATGTAAATCCAGTGGTGAGACACATTATGTTTATCTACTATTAGGATAAGAAAACACAGGTGCCTGTCTATAGTATTGTTCACTAACAACACAAATTTTCCTTAACAAATTTCACAAAAATTATTCAGAGAATTCAGATCCCCCCTCTCCCTTGGGGCATATGCCAATTAGCATAGTTGATGTAAGAGTATGCTAACTGGTAGTCACCATAACATAAGGTTGATGGAGACATGCTGAAAATTAGTTCTATTTTTTCTCTTAAGCTTTCACATATCAATGCCGAGCTTTTAGAATTGATTTTTGCATATAGCATACATACTAGAACCTGAAATGTAATATCTGATACATCTCATGTATAGAACACTAATTTTGTCAACTATGAAGGCAAAATTATTATAACTTTATGTAGGCAGCACCTCACATATATTCACTTTTTTCTGAAACTGACATTGCACTAAAATATTTGATTCTGTATTTCGAAGATTACGCTGATGAAATTCTGAAACTTGTCAAATTTCTGTATTAAAGTACCATGGCTTAATTCTATGGAAAATACCATTAGCACTAGATTACTAAGACTGGAAGAAGCCTTAAATTACTTAAATTTTCTACTTCACATTGTACAGTTTAATAGCTGCCAATATATTTTACAAGGTCTTGATTGTTATCTAACTCAAATATTCATTTTTATTTTTATCTAGAACTTTCAATTTCTCTCAGATTAAAAAAAACTCTATAATCAGACTAGTTCATTCTTCCCTTTTTCTTCAAATGCCCCCATAAGTTACTGTTTTTACATATCCCAACACTCCTTTCTAGCCTTTCACCTTTAGCCTATGCTTTATTTCCATCTCAGACTTATATATTGTTTCATGGCCTTTTAAATGTTCAAATGGATTTGTGGCCTCTTTTTGTGGGATTTCCCTTGAATGATACTGTTTTCAACTCATCCATGCCTGCCTATCCTGAGTGATTCTTGTTCATGGTCTCTGACAAGTTTGCCACAAGGAGATTCACCTAATTCATGATAAGGTCATCTTTGATTTTTTCTGACCCTGAGAGGATACCAACAGATCACATACACTGTCTACTAGTCATCGCTCACTCTTTGCTGTGGCCAGCCTATCTTAGGTTTTGATCATACATTTTTTATTGACATACATTTATTTATTTTTATTCAGTTTGGTCCTCTGTGGTTCCTTATTTGCTTTATGTTGACGCCATTTCACATCTGCTGTGGAACCTCTCCACAGACTAAAACTTTATTCTTTGGAGGCTGAAATGCTCTATGGTTAGAAGCCATAAAATAATATGACAAAATATAGATATTAAAAGGATGGGCCTTTATTTGTGGGAGAATTTGGGGGTCGTTAAAGGAGCTTTGTAGTTTTTCATAAGCAGCCCCACCTACTCTCTTCCTCGTTTAATTCTGAGTCTAATTCACTGTTCGTATATAGTGATGAGTAAGATCAATAGTAGATTATTTATCTAAATATATATCATAATCTGGATAACAGACTGTCTTCATTCACTTGGTTTCTGGATGGTTTTTTGAGCGGTTATGGCTCTCTTCTAGAATGATCTGTCTTGATGTAACCATAACAGTGTTGTCTGTATTTATAAGAATAAGGGCTATTGCCAGGGCAGCTAGGTTGCACAGTGGATACAGTATCGGCCCTGAAGTCAGGAAGACCTGGGTTCAAATCCAGCCTCAGACCAAATACTTGACACTTACTAGTTGTGTGACCCTGGGCAAGTTACTTAACCCCAGCTGCTTTAAAAAAAAAAACAAAACAGCTATTCCCTAATTGATAAATGGTCAAAGAATATGAACAGGCAGTTCTTAAGGGAAAAAAATCTGAGATATCTATAACCACATGAAAAAATGTCCCAAGTCACTAATAACCGGAGAAATGCAAATTAAAGTAATTCCGAGATTCCACCTCATATCCATGGGCCAAGCTGACAAAAAAAGAAAATGACAAACACTAAAAGGGCTACGGAAAAACAGGAAAACATGCTGGGGGAGATGTGAATTGGTCCAACCATTCTAGAAGCAATTTATAACTATTCCCTGAAAGTTGCTAGCTATGTATAAACTTTGACCTCGAGATACCAATGCTAAACCTGTTCTGTAAAAAGAACAAAGAACTGGAAATTAAAGGTGTGTCCCTTAATTGGGAAATGGCTGAATAAAAGACAGTATATATGTGGGGGCTAGGCTATCATGTACCACCATTCCCCCTCATATGAAGATAATGGTGCCATAAGAAATGAGTTAAGGGATGGTTTTGGAGAAACCTGTGAAGGCTTATGTGAATCGACACAGAGTGAAGGGAGTAGAATCAGGAGAACAATTTATACAATTACAAGAATAATGTAAAGATAGACAACTCTAAACTCTGATTAAATGACCAACAATTCCAGAGGCCTGATGAAGCATGCTCCTCAGACGTACATTTTCTGGACGTGGCCAATACAGAAATTTATTTTGACTCCGCAAATTTATTACAAGGGTGTTGTTTTTCTTTTTCTTTTTAAATTGGAGGGACAGAAAATAAATCTGTAACTGCAAAAGTATTTTTTTTTTAAATAAAGAAATGTCATCTGCAAACAGATGAGCACATAGGTGGCATCATCATCTACAGGGAGTCCTCCCTCAACTTGGAATCTGTGCTGGGTTTCCTCCATGATGGTAGGGATCATCTTTGGTGGACATGTATCCTTGTTTCATGCCTTACCCATTTTTTTTTTTACATTTTAACTCATTAATTTTATTAGCAACTCATAAAATGAACGGGTCACAATTTTAAAAGTAAGTTATATTTTATTTCAAACACAAGTTAAACCACATGTATTTGTTCTACAAAAAAAATTTTTTTTTGGCTTTTTGATTAGGCAGAGTTAAGTGACTTGCCCAGGGTCACACAGCTAGTAAGTCTCAAGTGTCTGAGGCTGGATTTGAACTCAGGTCCTCCTTGCTCTAAGGCTGGAGCTTTATCCACTGCGCCACCTACCTGCCCTGTTTTACAAATTTAAACGTGGGACTAGAGTCAAGTATAACCAATATATGTAGGGACACTATAATTTTTAATTTTTGGATGACTATTGTACAGCTAGAAGTAAGAAAGAGTTTACTGTTAGGATGTGAACAAGCTAAAAATGTTCTGTGTGCATTGAGAATAATTTCCATGATAACAAATACTGAAGTAACAGAATATTAAAATGTGAAGCGGTTTGCAGTCAGCTGGTGAACTACATCCTGGGATGTAAAAGATCACAGATTCAAGACTTAGAATGCCTGGACTGGGTTCGACCCCTGGCTCTGCCACTTAACAGTTCTGTGGCCTTGGGTATCCTCCCTAGCTTTAGTTTCCTCCTCTATAAATGGGAATAATACTCATAGTACCCACCTTACAGAGTTGTTGTAAGGATCAAATGAGATAATAGTATGTAAAAACAGCCTGCAAACCTTAAAGTGCTAAATAAATATCAAAGGCTATATGTCCATAAAATACAACGTGTAATTTAATCCTCCTAAAAAAAAAAGTGGGACACTATCATATTTCAGAAAGAGAAGAACAGTTTTGGGGAATTTTATACCAATTTTTTCCACAGTAACTTACACTTGAGGGTTGAGAATCTTCAACTGTGTGAGGATATCCTTCTGCACCCTGGGGTTAGCAGTGGCTGTGAGAGCCATCATTGAAACAGAAGGAAATTTCTGTCGAAGCATATTCAATCTTTTGTAGTCCTGACGAAAATCATGTCCCCACTAGTTGAAAAACAAAGAATAGTGTTTTTTCCAATCATTTCAAAAAGACTAACACAAAACAAAATCTAGCCAGTATTTGATCTTAATAAATACATAAAAATTACACAACTATTAAAAGAGGCTATAAAGAACTAAACTGATTTCTTTAGTAAATGGTTTTTAAAATCACTGAACATTGGTGTTCATTGAAGATTTACTAAAGAATGGATTTCAATGAATTTATTATATATATATATTTTTTACAAAGTGTAACTTTTAAATATTTCAAACATAAAAAGGCAACATTTACCTGACTGACACAGTGTGCTTCATCAATGACAAAACGTGCCAATAATTTTCTCTCGTATAGATTTTCCAGAGTAGAAATCAACCTGTTACTTGCACAGACCTAGACCAAAAATTTATCATGATAAAGTTCTCCCAAAAAGGATAAAACTTCATGTCATTTCTGATGCAAAGTAAGCAGAACCAGGAAAACAATATACACAACAACTAAAACAAAGAGAAAAAACAATAACAAAACAATTTTAACTGACCACTATGAAATTATAATGACTAAGCTTGGCCTGAATGAGAGGGAGGAGATAGCCCTCTTCTCCCTCTTAAAAGGTGGTGAGATTATGGCTATGGAACATTCTAGATGTCAGATTTTTTTTTTCCAATGTATTGCTAAGTTTTGTGAAACTAATTTTTAAAACTTTTTTATTCTTTGTTGTGAAGGATGGCTCTCTGGGGGGCAGAGTGGAAAAAAGGCTAAATTGGGATATGTAAAGTGATATAAAAATAAAAGCTACCAATAAAAATGTATTTTATAAACTTAAAATAGTTTCTTACTTCAGGCAATAATGCTATGAGAAACAAAGTTACAGTAAACTGGGTATTTTTACAATTTTACTTTTAGGGAGCTGTTTCTATGCTGGCAAATATGACTTTTAGCATTTAGGTAAATAAATGCTAGGGAAGATCTTCTAAAGTTAATGTGCTTGAGAAAGTATAACATCTAGAAAAATAGATACAACATGCTTTCAAAAAGTAGAGCATATTTTAACACCGTGTTTTCAAATGATAATATAATACAAACCTTTTCTGGAGTAACGTACAGAAGTTTTATGATTGGATCTTTTTTTGACAATTGGAGATAAATATTTGCAGCTTCAGAATCTGTCTTATCACCTGTCAGATAAGTGGCTGGAATCTAGGGAAAAAAGAACATATTTTTTACATATTTATTTACTTAAGTTCAATTTATACAGTTTATAGTTTTATATTTGAAAGTCGTAAGTTATATCTGACAACAGTGACTAGATTTGGATGCTTTAACAAGCTTTGACCTCCAGGAATATTGGTGGAAAAATTATATTGTATGACCCTTAGAGAGTCAGGGATTTGGTTATCAAAAGGGAGAGAAGATTTGAAGGCCAAATGGTGCTAGGTAGCTAAGAAAGACAATCTGGACAAAACTCTACATTTAAAAGACAATGTACATATTATATAAACTCTCTTCTCTCCAATTGGTACTTGGGAGACTGACAAGAAACCCAAATCTCCCTCACAGGATATAAAATCTCAAATAAATTTGTGGAGAATAGGTGAAACTCAAAAAGACCTGACCTTTTAAGAAGGAAAAAAGGAAAGAGGAACACCAGAGAATATAGATTTCCCAGCAAAAGAGCCAGAAGCCTGAAGAGTAAAAGCTGGGACAGGGAATCATAGAATGTATGGGGAACAAGGAGATATAGCCAATTCAGACTGAGAAGCACAACTGGCAGATTTAAACTGGTAGAAGGATGCATTCTCCTCACAGCCGCTTAACCTTTCTGGGCCTAAACTTTCCCATCTGTAAAAAGAGGGGATTGTATCAGATGATTGGTAAGGTATTTTCCACATCTTATATTCCATATTTCCTATGGCCCCATTGAGGATTCTGTAGAAATACAATGAAAGGCGTTGCCATTATGGCATTCAGAGTGATCTAATACAAACCATCTCACATCAGTGTTCTAGCATTAGGTCATACTTCCTTCCCCATTTTCTTTGGAAGAAAAACTGTGACAGTGATCTTGTTATGGGATAACTGGTGGTGATACTGATGGTGACCCAAAATGTGCATGAGGACTAAGCTGTGCCCACATGCACTATGAGAATATAACAACATACATGCCTTTCAAGTGTTTAAAGAGAATGAGAATCATGCTGGCTTGGCAGCATATAAAACCCTTTCTATATAAAAAAAAATTTAGATGAGCAAAAAAACCCTGAAGAGTTCTCTTACTTTTCTATAATAATAATTTTTCATTCAAATAAAATCAGATTAATAATCTTATGAAGTACAACAAGAATGTGCAGAGTATTTATTTAACTGTGCAAAGCAAAATAACTATTTTGCTTTACATCTATATAATATTTTTCTGTATATCTCATCAACATTACTTAATAACAAATTACAGATTATTGTATTTCAGTTCTTCCTTAATAGCATTATTTTGCTATTATTCTCCCAAAAAGTTTTAATGGTTTGAATTTATACTTACATCCAATGAAGTTAGCTTTTGCACTTGGTCTACTATTAGTGATCTCAGTGGAGAGATCACAATAGTAACTCCAGGAGAAACACAAGCTGGTAGCTGGTAACATAGGCTTTTACCCCCTCCTAAAAAAATTAAGAGAAAAGTATGTCAAGCTATGGAACACAAAGACCAACATCCGAAAGTTGTAACAGAAAGTGATAATATAAAGACCCAACAGGATAGCCAGTTATTTTCCAATAGTGCCAGCATTTTAGAATTATGCTCCACAAGTGACTAAATTGTATATAACCTCTGATCCCAATAATATCACTGTTAGATAAATTCCAAAGAAGTAAAAGACAGAGGAGAGAAAGGTCATATGTAATGTTTGTAGACTGGCTGAACAAATTATGGCACATAAATGTAACGTAATATTACTGTGCTGTAAGAAATGACAAATATAAAAGAATTCAGAGAAGCTCTGAATGACGTGTATGAACTGATATAGTGAATTATCAGCAATTTACATGATGACCACAAAAAAAGTAAAGGAAAACAATATCAAAAGACTTCAGAATTCTGATCAATGTAGAGACCAATTATGATACCAGAAGAGTAACAGTGAAACATGACTCTTAAGGTGATTGTTTTTTGTTTTGTTTTGTTTTTTTGCTTGAATATACTTATTTGCTATAAGGGAGTTAATGGTTGTGGTGGTGAGTCAGTGGAAAGTGACCATAGTGTTTTTAAAAAAAAAAATTAGGGGGGAGGGGCCTTCCCCCTCCCCCACCGGTGCAGAGCCAAGATAGCAGAGAGAAGCCAGGAAGTTGCCTGAGCTCGCCCCAGTTTCCCTCAGAAACAATGTTAAATCAAGCTTCTAAACAGATTCTGGAGTGACAGAATCCACAAAAAGACAGAGTGAAACAATTTTTCAGCATAAGATAACTTAGGAGGACTTCAGGAAAGGTTTGTCTCACTTGGACAAAAGCGGAGCGCAGTCTAGCCTAGCACAGACGGTGTCTGGGCAAGCCAGAGGGAGGCTCTTAGCCACAGCACAGATCAGCAACTGAGGCCCCTTGGTCTTGGCTCAGCAGGCTAGTGGCACAGCAGGCCAGCTGTGAAGTCTCCAGCACAGAAGGCAAACTGCCTGCCCTGGAACCCTTGTATAACAGGTATGACTAGGCTGAGTCACCCCACAACAGTGGGCAAACAGTGTGAGCCCTAGAGGCCCTAGTGCAGAAAGCCAGTGACCAGGCCCCTGGCCTCCACCAAAATAAGCTTGGGACAATGCCCCCTGTGGTCCAGGAGCAGAGCTGAACTTCACATCACGAAATAGGCTTTGAAAAAAAAAAAGAAAGGTGAAAAACTGAAAAGAGCCCAGATCAGGGAAAACTACTATGGTGATAGGGGAGATCAAAACACAAACTCAAAGAGGACAATAATTTCAAAATGCCTACATGGGAAGCCTCAAAGGGGAATATGAATTGGTCTCAAGCCCCAAAAACCTTCTTGGAAGAGCTCAAAAAGGATTTTAAAAATCAAATAAAGAGAGGTAGAAGGAAAAGTGGGGAAAGAAATGAGAGTTATACAAGACAGAGTCAACAGCCTGGAAAAGGAAAGACAAAACTGACTAAAGAAAACAATTCCTAAAATAATACAATTAGCCAAATGGAAAAAAAAAATCCACTGAAGAAAAAACTCCTTAAAAAGTAGAATTGGCCAAATGGAAAAGGAGATACAAAGCTCACTGAAGAAAACAATTCCTTAAAAATCAGAACTGGACAACTGGAAGCTAATGACTCTATAAGACATCAAGAATCAGTCAAACAAAATTTAAAAAATGAAAAAATAGAAGAAAATGTAAAATACCTCACTGGAAAAACAACTGGAAAATAGATCAAGGAGAGATAATTTAATAATTTAAGAATTACTGGACTACCTGAAAGCTATGATAAAAAAAAAAAAAAAAAAAGAGCCTGGACAGCATCTTTCAAGAAATTATCAAGGAAAACTGCCCTGATATCCTAGAACCAGAGTATAAAACAGTCATTAAAAGAATCGACTGATCACCTCCTGAAAGAGACCCCAAGATGAAAACTCCAAGGAATATCGAAGCCAAATTCCAGAATTATAGGTCCAGGGTGGGGGTGGGGAGGAGGGGAAAGAGGGGACGGGGGAATGCTGCAAGCTGCCAGAAAGAAACAATTTAAATATCAAAGAGCCACAGTCAGGATTATACAGGATTTATTAGGTTCTACATTAAAGGGTTAGAGGGCTTAGAATATGATATCCTGGAAGGCAAAGGAGATTGGATTACAATCAAGAATCAACTACTCAGCAAAACTGAGCATAATCTTTCAGGAAAAAAAATGGATATTCAACGAAATAGGGGACATTCAAACTTTCCTGATGAAAAGACCAGAGTGGAACAGAAAATTCAATCTTCAAATACAAGACTCAAGAGAAGCATAAAAAAGTAAATACGAAAGAAAAAAAAACACATGTTATTCAATAAGGTTAAACTGTTTACATCCCTATACAGGAAGATGATACTTGTAACTCTTGAGGACTGTTATCTCTATCAGGGCAGTCAGGAGTATATATAGACAGAGGGTGTGGGTGTAAGTTGACTTTGATATGATGATATAAAAAAATTAAGGGGTGAAAAAAAAGGATTGTACTGGGAGAAGAGAAAAGGGGGGGGCAAAATAGGGTAAATTATATCACATGAAGAGGCAAAAAAGACCTATTACAATAGAGGGAAACAAGGGAGGGGGTAAGCATTGTTTGAACCTTACTCTCATTGGATGTGACTCAGAAAGGGAATAACATACACACTCAGTTGGGTGTAGAAATTTACCTTTATAGGAAAGTGAGAGGGGGAAAGGGAAAGGAAAAAGGGGGGGAGCACTGATGGAAGGGAAGACAGATTGAGGGAGGTGGTGGTCAGAACCAAAACACTGGTGAGGGACAGGGTGAAAGTACAAACAGAAAATATGAAACAGAAAAGTATAAACAGGGAGAAAACTAGAATGGAGGGAAACACACAGTAATCATAACTGTGAATGTGAATGGGATGAGCTCTCCCATAAAACGGAAGAGGATAGCAGAGTGGCTTAGAAACCAGGATTCTGTAACATGTTGTTTACAAGAAACACATCTGAAGCAGAGAGATACACACAGAGTAAAGGTAAAAGGCTGGAGCAGAATCTATTATGTTTCAGCTGAAGTTAAAAAAAAAAAAAAAGCAGGGGTAGCAATCCTGATCTCAGACAAAGCAAAAGCAAAACTAGATCCAATTAAAAGAGAAAAGGAAACTACATCTTGTTAAAAGGTACCCTAGACAATATCAATACTAATAAACAGATAAGCACCAAGTGGTATAGCACCCAAATTCTTGGAGAAGTCAAGTGAGTTACAGGAAGAAATAGACAGCAAAACTGTACTAGTGAGGGACCTCAACCTCCCCTCTTACCCTCCCAGAACTAGATAAATCCAACCACAAAATAAACAAGAAAGAAGTTAAGGAAGTGAATAGAATTTTTGAGAAGTTAGATATGGCAGAACTCTGGAGAAAAACAGGGATAGAAAGGAATATATCTTTTTCTCTGCAGAACATAGCACCTACACAAAAACTGACCATGTATTAGGGAATAAAAACCTTACAATAAAATGCAGAAAGGCAGGTATATTAAATGTATTCTTTTTAGATTATAATGTAATAAAAATTATGTGTAATAAAGGGCCACGGAAAGACCAACTAAAAATTAACTGGAAACTAAATAATCTAATCCTAAAGAATGAGAAGGGGTATCAAACAACAAATCATAGAAACAATCAACAATTTCATTAGAAAATGGCAATAATGAGACAACATACCAAAATTTATGGGATGCAGCCAAAGCAGTTCTTAGGGGAAATTTTACATCTCTAAATACATACATGAATAAAATAGAGAAAGAGCAGATCAATGAATTGGGCATGCAACTAAAAAAAGCTAGAGAAAGAGTAAATTTAAAATTCTCAATTAAATACCAAATTAGAAATTCTGAAAATCAAAGGAGATTAATAAAATTGAAAGAAAACCGAAAGAACCAATAAATAAAACCAAGAGCTGGTTTTATGGGAAAAAACAACAACAACAACAAAAAACCATAAAATAGAGAAACCTTTGGCTAATTTGATTTAAAAAAAAAAAAAGAAAGAAAACCAAATTACCAGTATCAAAAATGAAAAGGGTGAATTCACCACAATAAAGAGGAAATAATAAAAGCAATAATTAGGAGGTATTTTGCCCAACTGTAGACCAATAAATCTGACAATCTAAGTGAAATGGATGAATATTTACAAAAATATAAACTGCCCAGATTAAGAGAAGAGGAAACAAAATACTTAAATAATCCCATTTTAGAAAAAGAAATTGAACAAGCCATCAATGAACTACTTATGAAAAAATCTCCAGGGCCAGATGAATTTACAAGTGAATCCTATCAAACATATAAAGAACAATTAATTCCAATACTATATAAACTATATGGAAAAATAGGTGAAGTCCTACCAAAGTCCTTTTATGACACAAATAGGGTGCTGATGCCTAAACCAGGAAGAATCAAAACAGAGGGGCGGAGCCAAGATGGCAGAGTAAAAGCAGTGACTTGCTTGAGCTCTCCCCCAAACTCCTCCAAATACCATGAAAAATGGCTCTAAACAAATTCTAAAGCAGCAGAACCCACAAAAAGACAGAGTGAAACTGAAATTTCCAGCCAAAGACAGCCTGGATGGCTGATCAGAAAGGTATATTGCGCTAGGCTGGGAGAGGAGCACAGTTTGGCGTGGGCGCGTAGGCCACAGCGAACCTGGAACAGGCCTCAGAGGACTGAATGGCGGGCAGCTGTGGCAGTTTCCACACTTCTCAACCCATGAACGCCAGAGACAACTTGGAAGGTCAGTGGGAAAAGTGTGACTAGGTGAGAGAGAAGCTAGGTCTCAGCCGCAAGTCCTGAGCTCGGGCTGAGGCTGCCCCCTGAGCTTCCGGCCCACACAGACTGAGGGGGAATCAAGTGGCTGATCAGAGTGGGACTGCAGGGATCTCTTTGCCTGTGCTGAGACAGGAATCTCTTGCTTTACCCATGCTTGGATCTGG